TGATTATAGATAAAATTATTCTAATATCTGAGAAGAAAAGGAGCATGGAGTGATACTAGACACTTTATGAAAAATATTTGACTGTGCATTGATGCAGAAACAATTTTCAGTCAGAATTTAAATGTGACATTTTGCAGTAGAAAGACTGAAAAACTATTTTCTTGTAAAACATTCTCCAATAATATTTCAAAACTTAAAAAAACCAACCATTTTTTTTTACAGTGCAGAGTGCTAAGATTGACCAATCAGAATCAAGTATTCCAGAGAGCTGCATAATAATGAGTGAAATGATTAGTAATAAGATGATATGAAAGCATCTTGCAACACTTCTAAAGCTGTTGATTTACTGACTGACTGACTAAATCTTAATCTAAATGTTTTCTGACAGTTATTTTCATTGGCTAAATTGCTTTTTTAAATCCAGTCTAATCCTTGCAATAGCAGGTGTGATGGCAGGAGACCGGAAAAGACCCGTAGCCATAATACTGCCATAACTCACAGTCAACACAACACGAAGGGGAAATGTTTATGGTACCCAACGCTCAGTGTAAATGTTAAAGGGGTTCGGCGCACCACCATTAACATGCCATTGGAAAGCCGTTTCCTTGGCAATGGCTCTACAAGCACAAGCTGTATAAAATCTGTTTGGGTTTGGAATGCCATTGTGATCAGATATATGTGCCAATCCATGTTGCCATGGAGGGCGGGACCGCTCAGGAACGCCTTTTCATGACTAAGCCCCTTTCTTCCCCTTTCCCAGGAGTCATTCATTCCGGATTTAATTTATCACAGACAGGGATGATCAGATCAACCTTCTGTTGCCTAACCTCTGCACCTCTCTGCTCACTTCTGACTAACTTCAACACCAATGGCCTAATTCTAGCCAGCTTGCTTTGGTCTGAAAAGACAACAATATATGTATTCCTGACAAAGAAAGCAGATCTGATCAGTACCCTTAGATCTGATTTTAATTTGGGCTCGACGTCCTCTCTTGAACTCCACACAGCCTCAGCAGATGGGCCACAGATACTGATGTCATTTCCTGGATGTTTCCAAAGTGAACAGTAAAACACAACAGCCCCCATAACTCTTTCCATGTTCATTTTCATTTCAAACTTGAAGCTTCTATTTCAAATAAATAAACAAATGGAGAAAAATTTATTTTAGCAAAGAACAATGGTTTACTGATGACATCAGGTGTAATATTATATTGTATAATGTATATTGTATAATGTTGCTTTGACATATACTGCTTTAGTGTTTAGGTTCACATTAACGATCAACAATGTACTAAACCAACGCAATATAGTTGGCGCAAACCAATCCCTATCCTCACTGCAAATGAATGAACGAATGAACGAACAAACAAACAAACAAACAAATAAATAGCACAATGCAATTACACAACAGCAAATATTATTGATGCATGAATATAAATTATTAATATATTATACATGATTAATCTTTTTAATATAAATACATTGTGGATTGGCACAAACCAATCCTTATCCTCACAGAAACTGAACATTAAAAAAAAAATTTTTTTTTAATTATATCTAGCGTAGTGTTAGTTCTGGCAGGTCACGTTAGTCAAGCTCGCATCAGCTGACGATTAATATTTATTATACTATAATATTTTTTTTGTTTTGTTAATGACAGATATCCTCTTTTCCAAAAAATGATAAGTATATTTCCTTGGCTATTTTCATATATTTATTTATTATTATTATTATTTTTTTTTATTTAGCTCACAACCCACCAGTTCAGAATTACTGCTTCAAAAATTACCATAGAATTGCCTTAATAATAATTTTTCCTATGTATATATATCTATTTTCCTAGATAGATAGATAGATAGATAGATAGATTTTTTAGATTTAATTATTTATTTTTTAGATATTTCAAAGCATCTTATGAAATGATAAGCATCAGCCAAAGCAGAAAGTGCTGATGTGGCATAATTTGAATGATTTCAGACAGAGGAAGAGCAAACGCTATGCAGGAGTCATGCAAAGGTTGCTAGGCACTGAAAGCACTGCAGTCTGCTGTGCAATGACGGTTATGCACTTGCATGTTCAGTGCATACTGTGAAGAGCCCATCCAGACTTCTGCAGCGCTCACGCCACAAGAACGGATTCATTCACTGGTGGCACATGTCTATAATTTCTTGGTCGTAAGTCAGCATCTCTGACTGCCTGTTTATCCACATACAGTCTGGTTGCAGAATTGGTCTGGAAAAAAAGACCCAAAATCATCAAACAAACATTTTTATGAGAGAAACTGAGCATTAAGTGGCTATTACACTGCACTACAGACAAGTTTAGCAGTTACAAACAAGAGACAATCTTCCCAAATCCAAACTGATACAGAATTTGGGACTTATCGTGAGCAAACCGCCTCCGCTAATTGCGGTTCCAATGCTCCTGATTTGTATAATGGGAAAGAGACCGTATAAGCACAACAGCTGTGAAAAAATAGTGTCATGTAGGTTGTCTGCCATCCAAACCTTGTCTCCTTGGCTCCATGCAGTCTTGCTCTCATTGCTCCAGTATCATCGGTGGCGTCTGTGGAGATAACAGATCACACCTCATTTGTGAGTGTGGGATTGCACGAGGGCCAAGACTCAGTAAATCAGCACCAGTGGAGTGCAGAACGGGACAGAACCAGCAACAAGTGTGTTCTGGGTCCAGACACTGAGTCAGAGACATCTACAGTTTTTAAAAGATGAGATGAGAGAGAAATTATACAAGAATTAAAATGCATTTAGTCTAAACACGACTGCATGGATGCAGAAAAGTATTTTTTCTAATTATAATTTAGAAAGTCATTAGTCAGCTCATTCTAAGGAAACAGCACCATGCGTGCCCCATTTATGTTCATGCGACTTACTTGATAGATATGGCTTATAATTAAGGGTCAGTATGATTTTTAATTAAAATGTAATGTTTTTATTCAGCAAGGATGCATTAAATTCATCAAGAGTGAAGACTTTAATTACAAAAGATTTCTATTTCTTAGAAATGCTGTTTTTCTATTCTTCATGCTGAAATTTCTATTCATCAAAGAAAAAACAATGCACCATGGTTTCAAGAAAAATATTAAGCAGCACAACTTTTTTCAATGTTGATAATAATCAGAAATGTTTCTTGAGCAGCAAAGCAGCATATTAGAATGATTTCTGAAGGATCATGTGACACAGAAGAGTAATGATGCTGAAAATTCAGCCTTGCATCCCAGAAATAAATTACATTTTAAAATATATTAAATTTGAAAACTCTTAATTTAAATTGAAATAATTTTCACAAGTTTTACTGTATTTTTATTCAAATAAATGTAGCCCTGGTGAGCATAAGAGACTTCCTTCAAAAATACATTAAAAAAATAATCATTTTTACATTGTTAAACATAATTAAACAATATTTGTAAATGTTTTAATCATTATTTCAATCATTATCATTTTAATGGGTTATATAGAATACCAACAAAAAATAAAATAAAAATAAAAACCTAAATTTTGCTTTAAATAATAATAATAATAACAATAATAAAATCATAGTTTCAAGCCAAAAAATGCAGCCTGAAGCCTGAAACGTTTTGAATAGTTGTTACACAAAGCAAGGTTTGAAAGAGAAATGCTCTACATTGAGTTGAAAATAATTCTACCTAAATTTTGCTTTAAATAATAATAATAATAATAAAATAAATAAAAAATATAATAAAAAATAAAATCATAGTTTCAAGCCAAAAAATGCAGCCTGAAGCCTGAAACGTTTTGAATAGTTGTTACACAAAGCAAGGTTTGAAAGAGAAATGCTCTACATTGAGTTGTGGCTGCATGATTTAAAAATAAAAAAAAAAACACTGAAACCCAGAAACCAGCCAAGGCCAGCCTTGACTACAGCATCAGTTATTGTTGCTCACTTTCTCCCTCTGTTGGTGAACAGGGATTCTGAGTGACCCAGTCAAGCACTTGTCTGTCAATCCAGCAAACTTGCAAGATAAAAACAATTACACATAACATGTACCAGTATAGAAAGATGTTTGTGGTTTCCCTCTGCATATATACCATGTTATTAAACACACATGAACTTATGATGAACTGTTGCTGTGATTATGCTGACGTGAAACGACCCAAAATGAAACCACCACGACTGATTTCAGCCTACTGTTCTATTACGAAGACAAACCTGGTTTATTTGTCTATGTAAGCCTAATAAATCAGATTTTATCTTTGAAAATGCTGTCTTAAAGTGACTCTTGTAATCTTCATTCTCATTCAAATGCCAACTACATATTACACCATTAATAATAACAACAATAATAAGCCATAATCTGTAGTCTATTTTTGTACAAAGCTGTCAAAATGCTAGGCATCCTATAAATAGCATCCTAACCACAAAGTACTTGCGTTTGGGGCACTGAGGCCAGGAAAAATGCACCTTGCCAAAAGCATAAGCGGTTATACCTCGAGCACGGGGAATAGTTGCCGCATTGAGTCCCTCTGGAGAACTCTATAAAAAAAAAATTCTTGGCAGCCAATAGCAAGAGAAAACATATATGCATGCACTAAACCCGCCTTTATCTGCTTTCTCACACATCAAAACCTCCCCCAAACGACGCGCCGCCCCTACCAAACCCTCCAGGAGTCAGTAAATTCAGCATTCCCTCTCAGACTCAATTCAGAGTGGCATCTACAGGGGTCATCAAACGGAGCTGAAATTCACGTTTAGATGAATTAACTGCACGCACAGGACCGGGACTGTCATTTGGACTCAATTTACTGGCGGCACCGCGCGTGGTTCATCTTTATCTGATGCTGCGTAAAAGTTGACCGTGGAAACCGCTGCACGCGCTCGGAAGAAGTCGCACCAGAGGATACCGCTCTATGTGATATTGCTGCCACTACATAAACTATATTGAGCACTTGGGCTTGTTTATACGAGGAGGCAAGTTACTGTTGATCCGCACAGACCAAGGGGTCATCAAACAGAGCTGAACTTCACGTTTAGATGAATTAACTGCACGCACAGGACCGGGACTGTCATTTGGACTCAATTTACTGGCGGCGCCGCGCGTGGTTCATCTTTATCTGATGCTGCGTAAAAGTTGACCGTGGAAACCGCTGCACGCGCTCGGAAGAAGTCGCACCAGAGGATACCGCTCTATGTGATATTGCTGCCACTACATAAACTATATTGAGCACTTGGGCTTGTTTATACGAGGAGGCAAGTTACTGTTGATCCGCACAGACCTGCTGACCAGATGGATGCGCAATGATGGATTAATCGCTTTTCGATGCAACTTTTCAGCGCGGTGCCCTGATAAACTTCTCCTGAGGATTTTACACCAGCGACCTTTACCTGAATTATCCTCTCAAGATGTCATCGGAGTATTTGATAAGGTCGCTGCTTATGCTCTTTCTTGCACTCTTCTCCGCCAATGCGAGCAACTGGCTGTAAGTGAATATCACTTTCTTCATTCATGTGATGTTTTGACGTCTGGGTCTAGGTCAGTTATGACTAAAAGTCAGTCAGATTCCCAAAAGCAAATGTTTAGCATGTCAAATGCAGCATGTGAATCACAAATCTGAAATTGGGAAACTAAGCGAATTTGTGAATAAGAATATAACCTACCTACTTAGATTACATAGGCCTACCTTAAAGCTTACGGTTTTAAAGCGCAGAACAAAACAGTTGTAATCTTTGTCTAATTCGTTCAGTGTAGCCTTTAATAGAAAATAAAAATCTCAAAGCATGCACTGTATGGACAGCACAAAATATAAGGAAATGAAACCGGTTATTTGGAGATTTTCCGTTCATGTGCATTTGGCACAGCCGCGCTTAATTGGCGCTGGTTGCGCGCAGCCTGGAGAGCAACGCATGAATATGACAGCAGTAACAGCACTCTTTATGATAATTAAAGTGCTGAAGAGAGCCGTATAAATGAATCACCTATGGCAATTTGTGATTACGGCAAAGAATTCATAAGCGAATGATCTGATTTCGATACTTGTATAGTTAAGAAGCAGAATAACATGCTTGGTTAAGGCCATATCAAGATGTGTGCATTTCCAGGTGTTTAGAATCATTTATCTGTATCCTCAGGGCAGAAATAGCACATCATTTAATCTATCCAGATGTAGTTGAGGTTTCGATGGAAGAGTGTTTTTAATTTAAAGGCGTGGTGACAGGTTTGGGGCATGCACAGACATGCTTCACACTTAAGGAAAACCTCCTACCTGTCTACAAAATATGATCATTCTGAGAGGAGCTTGTACACTATTCCAACCCCATCTCAGGACAGGTATTAGCAGGTAGCCAAATAGACATTAGACAAGTTTTCTTTAGCAAACAGAAAATGTGAATTCTTCACCGTTATATGAGCAACACGTGGGCATGAAGCTGAAATGTAGTATATATGATCCAGAAACACTTTAAATATTATTTATAGGTTAAGTGTAGACAGTTAATTAAGCTTAAATGTCATAAAAATGTGACTTGAAGTTAACAGGGAAATAGACTCAGTGTAAAACCTGCAATAATGTTAAAGAATTGTAATTCTTAAAAGTAAGTAGAAAAATGTTGTTCAGTGTCATTGAAAACATTTCAGTACATTTTGTTGCGTGCTTTTTGATAAAGATAATCTTCAGACATATTCCTGAGGTAAATCATCTTCTAAGCAACATAGCAGTCTTTAGTTGAAATGAAATAAACAGTGATTTCGTCATGACTGATCTCAAAATGAGATTTGGATGTAAGGTAAGATTAAACACACACACACACACACACACACACTCTTTATGTTTTGTCTCACTTGTATAAAATAAAATCAGATTAAAAATATGACTGAGTACGCAAACTTTTTCTGTTTGGTCTCCTATTTGTTGCATATAAGTATTGCCTGTGAATTATTGTGCAACAAATCTTAAAAATAAAAGTTCTTCAATGGCTTTTCTGTAGTAGGTTAGGATCAGCACAAACCTCTTCAGAGATTAAAACGTTCTCAATGTTTCAATATAGGTTCTTCAGATCAGTGTTTTGGCTTCTGGGCTCTTTAAAACACCAGAATATAGACATTCTGAAAACAAGAGAATAAAGGTTTTGTGGTGCTTAAAGTATCAGGCTGTTAGCCAGCAGCTCTAATACGAATGTTCGTTTTTAAGAGTGTGCGTTGAGTAACAACTTTCTCCTGGTTACTCAGATACTCTTTACTCAACAGTCATAATTAAATGTTTTGAAGTACAGCCGAGAGCTTTTCATTTGAGAGATGTGTGAAAGTATTCTTCTTGAGCACATCCTTCTGCACCTGTATGGAGGGTTGAGGTGCAGGTCACGAGAGCGGTTGTACTGCACCTGCACATCTTCAAACCTCCTTCAACAGCTTGTGCTTGTTCATGCAAATATAAGCTTACATTGCTTTATAATATTTTATGAATGACTATTTGCAGTTGTTTTGTATTAAAATGCCAGGAATGAATCATTAATTAGACACTATAAATAACAGATGGTAAAATGTTATTAAATAAACTCTTTTCTAAATAAACCATGCAAATAGTTGCTCTCAATCCTTATTCTAATGCATTTTGACAAGCAACGACTTTTGCTTTTATCTTGGTTTGGCAAAGTCAACATACTGCTATTGATCAAACATCAAAATCCTTAAGCCGAGACCAACATTTCAAATTACATCCAACAAAAGTTCAGTCTGTTCCAACTTAGTGTGCTATGTTGCAGATGAACAAATATCCTTCTAAAAGAATTTGTAGACTTCTATTGAGAAATCCTGACTCTTATCGACCCATCCAATCTTTAAAGGAATAGTTCACCCAAAAAAGAAAATCTGCTTACCCTCAGTCAAGACATCCAAGATGTAGAGCTTGTTTGTTCATCGGAACAGATTTGGAGAAATTTAGCATTCCATCACTTGCTCACCAATGGATCCTCTGCAGTGAATGGGTGCCGTCAGAATGAGAGTCCAAACAGCTGATAAAATAATCTGGTCCATCAGTTAACGTCTTGTGAAGTAAATAGCTGCATGTTTTTGAAGAAAAACAAATCCAACATTAAGGTATTTTTAATTAACTTCAACCCGGCTTTCGGCTAAAATAGGCCGAATAGTCCTTTATGCAAAATAAAACTTTTCCAGTGATAAAGTCGTCTCGTCTGAATCAGGAGAGAAATATGCACAGATCAAGCACCGTTTACAAGCAAAAACAGTCCAAAACAGTTCAAAACAAATATGTGGGTGGAGTTTAATGTGAGAGGGGTTATTATGAATTATGAAAGGGACAGGTTAAAGTTAAAATGCCTTAATGATGGATTTGTTTCTTACAAACATGTAACTTTTAATTTCACAAGACGTTAACTGATGGAGTACAATCGTGTGGATTACTGTGATGTTTTTATCAGCTGTTTGGACTCTCATTCTGACGGCACCCATTCACTCACTGCAGAGGATCCATTGGTGAGCGAGTGATGTAATGCTGGATTACATCTCCAAATCTGTTCCGATGAAGAAACAAATTCATCTACATCTTGGATGGCCTGAGGGTGAGTACATTTTCAGCACATTTTAATTAACTATCCCTATTCTTAACTATTCCTTTAAGTATCCAGCCTACATAAGGCCTATGCAACCTTCACAATTCAATCTTTTTTAAACTTTCAAACTGATCTTGATGAATTTGCCTTTTCTAGTTTCATGATGCAACAATTTCAGAAGTAAAGAAAGAGTTGCACGGTGTCAAATACAGATGTTTATTTGAGATGTTGAGGTTACAGAATGTTCACTAATGCACATCTCACTGAATATAATACAAAACCATGCAGTTGTCTTCGCTTGGGAAGTGATACAGTGTTTCCCATTGCATGGGATGGAAAGAACAGTGGTTGAGACGTTTGCACAGGCCGGTCAATAAATAGTTCACAGCTGATGAGCAACATGAGAAGAGAGAAACCTCTAATGCGAAATACATCCCGGCGCCGAGTGCTGATAACACAAATAACACCAGTGACAACAGGGTAATGAAGCTGTAAAACCTGTTGGCACATACCTCCACTCATACAGCAGCCTATTAAAAGCTTAATTTGATAAAAACAGGCAACTTCCATCATTCCCCCCCTCAATTAGCCTCATAAAATGTTTAAAGAAAGACAGGTGATGGGACAAACATAGTAAAAGAAAGACTGAATAGATGAATTTGAGCAATCTCTTATTGTCAGGATTAATGTCCTTGCAAAAATAATGTTTTTCACAAATGCAAATTGAGATGGAGAGCCACATTGGCCCTTCTGAGAGGCCTTATGCACAGTTTTATTACCAAAACATTTAATTGTGTGTGTGTGTGTGTATATATATATATAGCCTTTGCTTTCGTAAATGGTCCATCTCATCATCAGTCAACAACATTTAAGTTCTTTCCTCTTAAAAATAAATTGCAAAATCCCCATATGGGCCTGTCAACACCCAAACAGAACAAGAGTCAAACCCTCTTACTTAATTTTCTGCTCTGTACCCGAGTACATTTCCTCCAGCTTCTTGTCAATCCGTCTTCAATTTTACAGACCGGCGTTCTGGTCACACAAGATGTTTAAGATGTTTTTTAGACCTCAGGTGCAGGAACGTCTCTGAAATATATCTATAATTAGTATACACCCATTTACTTCTTGAATTGATGCTAATTATATTTACATAAATCCTTTTTCATTTGGTTTGAAGGCATATATGATCCAAAAGGTCCTGATTTGTAGAAGCAGATACTCATATAAACTGAAATAATCTGCATATATTAGATTAAGTTTAAATGTAGATGTTCAATGCATCTTTATGTACCTCTCTGAAAGTCTGAAGTATCTTCATGATGTACATCTGGTACATATTTAATCTGCAAGAAGAGATAGAAACAAGCATAAATAAATATTATCATCCCAGAAATCAAAATGGCATAAGCATGTTTTTTTTTTTTTCTTGGACATGGAATAGAATTAATATGATTGATTGAATTCAGTTAATTGTAGTGCTAATCTTTTAGTGTATTGTCAGTAAAATGAGATAACACTGCCCTCTAGAGTTAAAGACATCCACTAGACTTGCAGATAAGCATAGTGTAAGTGCAACTAAGACTCTGTCCTGTAGCTCTAGGTGAAAGCTCATAACTTAAAGCAAAAGAGTGAATGACTTTTTGGTACATGAGCTGTGAACAGTCTGCAAGACTTAGAAATACCAATGAGTCACTGAGTTTTTGAGGAAACAAGAGCTGTTTATCAGAGAAAGACTGTTGTGCAAGAATGACATCTGTTTTTGAAAACATGTCACATTCTGTGATGACTGTTTGATTCACATTTTGGCTCCTTTGTGTAGGACATCTTCTTGACCGTATTTTCAATGTTGTGAGGAGAATTAAAGTGTAACTTTCATCATCTTTAGACTACCGTTCAAAAATGTATTCAGCAAGGA